CTGGACTGGGAACACGCACCACTGGCTTGGTGCGGGGAGAAGGAACAGGCCGGGCTGGACTGGGAACACGCACCACTGGCTTGGTGCGGGGAGCCGGAACGGGCCGGGCCGGACTGTGGAGGCGGACTCGAGGTCTGGAGCGGAGAGCTGACACAACCCGTCCTGGCTGAATGCCTATGTCCACACAATATGTGTGAGGCATCAGCACAGGACGTACAGGGCTGTGCACTCGTACTGGCGCTACAGCACGTGGCACTGGCGCAGGACATACGGGACCGAGGAGGCGTACTGGAGGCCACGAGCGTTGAGCCGGCACACCCCGTCCTGGCTGCATGCCCATCTTAGCACGACACGTGCGTGGTGCTAGCACCGAACGTACAGGACTGTGCCGGAACACTCGCGGCACAGTACGTGGCTCCGCATAACACGGAGCCTGCCCAGTCTCACGCTTCCTAGCCTGAGTACGGGGAATTGGCTCTGCTCTAACTCTAGGCTCCGCCAACCACCCTTTTAGCCCCCCAAAAAATATTTTCTTGGGGCTGTCTATCGGGCTTCCTCCTCGGCCGGTACCCTCTGCGTTGCCGCTGCTCCTCTCTGTAGCGCGCCTCCACAGTCTCCTCCCAAGGACGGCGATCCATTCCGGCCTGAATCTCTTCCCAAGTCCAGGATCCCTTCCCGTCCAGGATCTCCTCCCAAGTCCAGGCTGTCTGTTCCTGGACACGCTGCTTGGTCCTCTTTAGGTGGGATCTTCCGTCACGAACGTTGACTGATGACTCGTGGAACCAAGGCGCAGCGTGATAAGCGTACATTTTATTTAGTACACAACACACGAACAAAACAACAAAACGAACGATACGTGAAGTCCTGAGGTTACAACAACACAAACCTTTACGGAACAAGATCCCACAAACTAACTGGTGCCAACAGGCTGCCTAAGTATGGTCCCCAATCAGAGACAACGAGCTACAGCTGCCTCTGATTGGGAACCACCCTGGCCAACATAGAACTAAACGATCTAGAATAAAAAACATAGAAAACTAAATATAGAAAATCCACACCCTGGCTCAACATTTAAGAGTCCCCAGAGCCAGGGCGTGACAATTATGGAGTGTTTGTGTGTGTGTTGGAGTGACAGTGTGTGTGCAGGGCCCTGTGAGTGTGTATAGAGACAGTGCAAAGATTGAAATAAAAGGTAAATAAAAATACAAGGTAAACTCAGTCCGTGTAGCTATTTTGTTAGCTATTTATCAGTCGTATTGCTTGGGGATAGAAGCTGTTCAAGAGCCTGTTGGTGTCAGACTTAATGCACCAGTACCTCTTGCCGTGCAGCAGTAGAGAAAATAGTCTATGCCTGGTGGTTGGAGTCTTTGACGATTTTCCGGGCCTTCTTTTCACACCGCCTGATATAGAGGTCCTGGATGGCAGGGAGCTCGTCCCAAATCAAATCAAATTTTATTTGCCACATGCGCTGAATACAAAAGGTGTAGACATTACAGTGAAATGCTTACTTACAAGCCCTTAACCAACAATGCATTAAAAAAAGTTTTTTTTAAAGTGTTAAATAAAAAAATTTAAGCAAATAACTAAAGAGAAGCAGTAAAATAAAATAACAGTAGGGAGGCTATATACAGGGGGTTACCGGTGCAGAGTCAATGTGCGGAGGCACCGGCTAGTCGAGGTAATTGAGGTAATATGTACATGTGGGTATAGTTAAAGTGACTATGCATAAATAATAAACAGAGTAGCAGCAGCGTAAAAGAGGGGGTGGGGGTGGGGGGGCAGTGCAAATAGTCCGGGTAGCCATGATTTGCTGTTCAGGAGTCTTTTGGCTTGGGTGTAGAAGCTGTTGAGGAGCCTTTTGGACGTAGACTTGGTGCTCCGGTACCGCGTGCCATGCGGTAGCAGAGAGAACAGTCTATGACTAGCGTGCCTGGAGTCTTTGACAATTTTGAGGGCCTTCCTCTGACACCGCCTGGTATAGAGGTCCTGGATGGCAGGAAACTTGGCCTCAGTGATATACTGGGCCGTACGCACTACCCTCTGTAGTGCCTTGCGGTCAGAGGCCGAGCAGTTGCCATACCAGGCGGTGATGCAACCAGTCAGGATGCTCTCGATGGTGCAGCTGTAGAACTTTTGAGGATCTGAGGACCCATGCCAAATCTTTTCAGTCTCCTGAGGGGGAATAGGCTTTGTCGTGCCCTCTTCACGACTGTCTTGGTGTGTTTGGACCATGATAGTTTGTTGGTGATGTGGACACCAAGGAACTTGAAGCTCTCAACCTGTTCCACTTCTGCCCAGTCGATGAGAATGGGGGTGTGCTCAGTCCTCTTTTTTTTCCTGTAGTCCACAATCATCTCCTTTGTCTTGATCACGTTGAGGGAGAGGTTGCTATCCTGGCACCACACGGCCAGGTCTCTGACCTCCTCCCTATAGGCTGTCTCATCGTTGTTGGTGATCAGGCCTACCACTGTTGTGTAGTCGGCAAACTTAATGATGGTGTTGGAGTCGTGCCTGGCCATGCAGTCATGGGTGAACAGGGAGTACAGGAGAGGACTGAGCACGCACCCCTGAGGGGCTCCTGTGTAGAGGATCAGCATGGCAGATGTGTTGTTACCTACACTTACCACTTGGGGGCGGCCCGTCAGGAATTCCAGGATCCAGTTGCAGAGGTAGGTGTTTAGTCCCAGGATCCTTAGCTTAGTGATGAGCTTTAAGGGCACTATGGTGTTGAACGCTGAGCTGTAGTCAATGAATAGCATTCTCACGAAGGTCTTCCTCTTGTCCAGGTGGGAAGGGCAGTGTGGAGTGCAATAGAGATTGCATCATCTGTGGATCTGTTGGGGCGGTATGCAAATTGGAGTGGGTCTAGGGTTTCTGGGATAATGGTGTTGATGTGAGCCATGACCAACCTTTGAAAGAACTTCATGGCTACAGACGTGAGTGCTATGGGTCGGTAGTCATTTAGGCAGGTTATCTTAGTGTCCTTGGGCACAGGGACTATGGTGGTCTGCTTGAAACATGTTGGATTAAAAGACTCAGTCAGGGACATGTTGAAAATGTCAGTGAAGACACTTGCCAGTTGGTCAGCACATGCTCGGAGTACACGTCCTGGTAATCCGTCTTGCCCTGCGGCCTTGTGAATGTTGACCTGCTTAAAAGTCTTACTCACATCGGCTACGGAGAGCGTGATCACATAGTCATCTGGAACAGCTGGTGCTCTCATGCATGCTTCAGTGTTGCTTGCCTCGAAGCGAGCATAGAAGTGATTTAGCTCGTCTGGTAGGCTTGTGTCACGGGGCGGCTTGTGTCACGGGGCAGCTCGTGGCTGTGCTTCCCTTTGTAGTCTGTAATAAAAGTCCTGCCACATCCGACGAGCATCTGAGCCGGTGTAGTACGATTCAATCTTAGTCCTGTATTGACTCTTTGCCTGTTTGATGGTTCGTTGGAGGGCATAGCAGGATTTCTTATACGCGTCCGGGTTAGAGTCACGCTCCTTGAAAGCGGCAGCTCTACCCTTTAGCTCAGTGTGGATGTTGCCTGTAATCCATAGCTTCTGGTTGGGGTATGTACGTACGGTCACTGTGGGGACGACGTCATCGATGCACTTATTGATGAAGCCAGTGACTGATGTGGTGTACTCCTCAATGCTATCTGAAGAGTCCCGGAACATATTCCAGTCTGTGCTAGCAAAACAGTCCTGTAGCGTAGCATCTGCGTCATCTGACCACTTTTTTATTAACCAAGTCACTGGTGCTTCCTGCTTTAGTTTTTGCTTATAAGCAGGAATCAGGAGGATAGAGTTATGGTCAGATTTGCCAAATGGAGGTCGAGGGAGAGCTTTGTATGCATCTCTGTGTTCGGAGTAAAAGTGGTCTAGAGTTTTTTTTTCCTCTGGTTGCACATTTAACATGCTGGTAGAAATTAGGTAGAACGGATTTAAGTTTCCCTGCATTAGAGTCCCCGGCCACTAGGAGTGCTGCCTCTGCATGAGTGTTTTCTTGTTTACTTATGGCCTTATACAGCTCATTGAGTGCAATCTTAATGCCAGCATCGGTTTGTGGTGGTAGATAAACAGCTACGAAAAATATAGTGATGTACTGGGCTGTCCACACAACCCTCTGTAGTGCCATACGATCGAGGGTGGTGCTACTGCCATAACAAGCAGTGATGCAACCAGTCAATATGCTCTCAATGGTACAGCTGTAGAACCTTTTCAGGATGTGAGGGCCCATGCCAAACTTTTTCAAGCCTACTTCATGACTGTGTGTGTGTGTGTTTGGACCATTTTAAGTCTTTAGTGATTTGGACACTGAGGATCTTGAAACTGTCTACCTGCTCCACTACCGCCTCGTCGATGTGGATGGGGGATTGCGTCGTCTATGGATCTGTTGGGGTGGTATGCAAATTGAAGTGGGTCTAGGGTGGCTGGAATGGAAGAGTTAATGTGTGCCATAACCAGCCTCTCAAAGCACTTCATGATTACAGAAGTGAGTGTACAGGGTGGTTTTCATTGTGGCATGAAGCCTTAGAGTTCTTAGGAACAGGAATGATTGTGGTCATCTTAAAACGTGGGGATTACAGACTGGGACAAGGAGAATAAGCCTGCCATCTGTTTTGCGCATGCTCTGAGAATGCGCCCTGGAATACCGTCGGGGCCCGCGGCCTTACGGGTGTTGACCTGATTAAAGACCCTTCTCACGTCGGCCTCGGAGAGCGAGATCACCCAATCCTCTGGATCGGTGATGGCCCTCACACCCGGCTCGACATTGTTGTTGTCAAAATAAAATGCATTGAATTCGTCTGGTAGAGAGGCATCGTTGGGCAGATCACGGTTGGGTCTTCCTTTGTAGTCTGTAATGGATTGTAGCCCCTGTCACATGCGACGGGCGTTGGAGCCTGTGTAATATGATTCCACCTTTTTCCTATTTTGTCCTTTTGGTAGTTTGGAGGTCATAGCAGGCCTTCCTGTACTTATTCCTGTCTTCGGCCTTAGCATAAACTATGATTGCAAAAGAGATTCATGCCACAATTGCACTGAAACTCCAATGAAACATATGTGTCTTTCTGACATGTTTGATCCCTTTTTTCTGCCTAGGTTTGTCAGATGATCTCAGACACAGCCAGACACAAGCTGCTGGTGCTTTCAGGACAATGCTTTGAAAACACAGGAGCGCTGATTCTGCAGTCCGGCTCATTCTCTTTCTTCAACTTCATAGATATATTCACAGACCAAGAGGTGAGTCAAATTGAGAAAATTGTTTGCTAAACAATTACTATACAATTATAATTGTATAGTTTGTAGTACTATTCTTAATCTGCTGAAGTTTACTGACCTCACAATGAGCAAACCTCATCAATACATCAAATACAATACATTTGTCATCTGTTATCTGTCATAATTTTGTTAGCAAATATGTTCTGTTTGATCTCACAGTCATGATTTTTTTCTCAAGTCTCCAAATCGCTCTCTCTTCCCCAGATTGGTGAATTGCTCATCACTATTCACCCAGCAAACAAAGCAAGCCTAACCCTCTACTGCCCTGAGCAAGGCGACTGGAAAAACTCAAACCTGGACAAACACAACCTACAAGACTTCATCAACATGAAGCTCAACTCACCCCTGATACTCCCAGAGATGGAAGGTCTCTCAGAGTTCACAGAATACCTGTCGGAGTCAGTAGAAATCCCATCACCATTTGACATGCTGGAGCCACCGACCTCTGGCGGTTTCCTGAAGCTCTCAAAGCCATGCTGCTACATTTTCCCCGGCGGCCACGGCGACTCTGCCCTCTTTGCGGTGAACGGGTTCAACATGCTTATCAACGGGGGCTCCAACCGTAAGTCCTGCTTCTGGAAGCTAGTGAGACACCTAGACCGGGTAGACTCCATCCTCCTGACCCACATCGGGGATGACAACCTGCCTGGCATCAACAGCATGCTCCAGAGGAAGATGGCTGAGCTGGAGGAAGAGCAGTCCCAGGGATCCCAAGCTACCGGTGACTGGGTGAAGAACCTCATATCCCCAGACATTGGGGTTGTGTTCTTGAACATCCCTGAGAATCTGGGGAACCCTGCTGAACCCAACTTCAGGGTGAGGAGAAACATTGAAGAGGTGGCACAAACTCTCCATTACCTGAGCAAGCTGAATCTGAGGACTGAGCCTCTGCAGAGGCCGGTCGGGAACACTATCGAACCCATCATTCTGTTTCAGAAGATGGGCGTGGGGAAGCTTGAGATGTATGTGCTTAACCCATCAAAGAACAGCAAGGAGCTGCAGCACTTTATGAAGCAGTGGACAGGTAGCGAGAAAGACAAAGCCTCTGTTCTTCTGCCCAATGGAAAAGAATCAGAGCTCCCAATCTCTTACATGACCTCAATCTCTTCATTGATCGTGTGGCACCCATCAAACCCTTCAGAGAAGATAGTGCGAGTTCTTTTCCCTGGCAACGCCACTCAGTATCACATTCTTGAAGGTTTGGAAAAATTAAAACACTTGGACTTTTTGAAGCAACCAGTTGTCACTCAGAATGAGCTATCTTCGAACTTGGCACCAGCCTTGAAGCAGGCAAAGTTAAAACATAAAACTGACAGCAAGGAGAGTCTGAAGTCAGTCTCAAGGCCATCACCAAGCAAAAGTTTCAAGAAGGAATCAAAGGAGGAGGCTCCAGAGAAGGCAAAGATAGACGCAGAATCAGCTCGAGAAAAGACCCACAAATTTGAGAAAAAAGAGAAACCTTTGTTGAAAAAGGAAAAGGTGAAGGCACCGGAAAAAGAAGTGAAGGCTAAAGCAGAGCCAACTCCTGAAACTCCAGAAAAGAAGAAGCCTGAAATTAAACCAAAAGCTCTCAAGGAGAAGATTATTAAGAAAGAACCCAGGAAGTCTGTAGAAAAGAAAAATGATGAAAAGGAGGTAAAGAAAGGAGCGAAGGAAGATGAGAAGCTAACATATAAAAAGGAGGAAACACCCAAAAAGGAACAGAAGGTAAACAAAGAAGAGGTAAAGAAAGACATTTTAAGGAAAGACAAAGTTTTCAGGAGAGATTCCCCCATGAAGGTGAGGAAGGAAGAGATAAAGGAGCAAAAGAAAGAAGATCTAAAGAAAGACATAAAGAAGCCATCCAAGGATATAAAAAATACTTCATCTGCTTTAGGTGAAGGGAAAAAACTTGCACCAAAACCAAAACCTCTGAAAAAAGATGAAACTACAACGAAAGACGTTGGAAGCCCTTTTAAGTCCAAGGGAAAACCAAAAGTCACCAAAAAGGACACCAAGGCCACGGATGCTAAATCTGCTGCTACAGGAGCTGCATCTGTCCCAGCAGGAGTGGTAGCCGCCGCCACTTGTGCTGCGGAGGTCCTTGAGACAGAAAGAGCCATTATGTCTTCTCCAGAGGACCTCACCAAGGACTTTGAGGAGCTCAAAGAAGAGGAGATTGTTCAGGAGGAAGAGCCGGTGGTGGTCCACAGAGAGGACCTTCTGCACTCTATGGAGTCTCCTGAAGCGGCAGAGTCTCTGGGTGAGGGGATCACAACGACTGAGCATGAAGGAGAAAGCAGGGAGACCCCAGAGGAACAGGAGCATAAAGGGAAGTTGAGTGGCAGCGGCAGTGAGAAGTTTGAAGATGAGGAAACTGGGCTAGATTATGAAGAGAAGGGAGAGACAGAAGAGGTCCATGAGCCAATGAGAAGGGAAATGGACAAGCATATACATGCTGAGGACAGTGAAGACGAGGACTCTGAGAACGTGGGTGCGGATGCAGACCAATATGTAAGAGATCATAACAGAAATGAAAGAGAAGTACAGAAGCTGGGTCTGTCTGTGACACAACCTCCCAAAATGTCTGAGCCTCTCTCTCCGGCTGCATCTATTCATGATGAGACCCTTCCAACTGGCTCTGACGACGAAGCAGCCTCAGATGATGAGAACCGAGACGAGGCATACACTGCTACATCTGGCCACACCCAGTCAACTATTGAGATCTCCAGTGTGCCTACTCCAATGGATGAAATGTCCACTCCAAGGGACATTATGAGTGACGAGACCACTAACGATGAGACGGAGGATTCTCCCTCTCAGGACCTTGCCAGGTTTGGAGGAACCACGTTAGGAGACTTTGAGAGGAAGAGGCTGTCTCCGCTACACGACGACCCAGAGTCAGACCATTCAAAGTGTGATGCCACTGAAGGCAGGGACTACCACGTTTCTGCGTCCACAATATCTCCACCATCGTCACTGGAAGAGGACAAAGAGGAAGGGTTCAAGTCAGACAAATTTGGTCTTGATTCGGCAAGACTCAGCTCTGCACTCTCCACTACTTCGCCTCTCATACGCTCCCCTTCAGCTCCCAAAGGATCCTTTGACTCATACCCCTCTGGATTCGCTGCACCAATTGAATTGTGCACAACGCTTTCAGGATCATCAAAGGCAGCAGCTGGGTCTTCAACCAGCCCAAATGACAAGACATTGGAAATAACCACCTCACCTCATTCCTCCGGTCACACACCTTACTTTCAGTCTCCCGTGGATGAGAAGGCTGGCTCTATACCACCTGCAAATGACCATGGTCCTGTAATCGTAGAGGTTACGGGTGACAAAGAGGATTCCATCAGGTTCAGCCCCATGGATGACCCAATTCCTGACCACACCTCACCTGTAGAGAAGGTGCTCTCCCCAATGAAGAGCCCGCCACCAGTAGGAGGAAAGACACACTTTGATTTAGATCATATGTTAACAATGCAATCAAGTCAAGATGAGAAGAAAAATGGAGCTAGCGATAGTAACTCATCCACAAACCCCTTCGCAGGTTTCAAAGAGGAGAGTAAAATGTCGATCTCAGAGAGAACCACGTCTGATAAATCGGGTATCCCTGTTGATGAGGCTGTAGCAGAGGACACTTTTTCACACATCGCCTCGGCTTCCACCACCTCACTGGCCACCATCGAATTCCCAGAGCCTACGACAGACGTTTCCCCTGCTCTCCATGCTGAAGCCGGCTCCCCTCAATCAACAGAGGTGGAGGACTCCTTGAATGTCTCTGTGGTTCAGACTCCAACCCCCTTCCAGGAGGCAGAGATATCTCCCAAGGGGGACAGCTCCAGGTCCATGTCAATCTCTCCAGACATCTCACCAAAGACTGCCAAATCAAAAACACCAGTACAGGAGCCCAAATCCCCGGAACATTCCACCATGTCATTTGGCCAGGAATCCCCTGACCACTCGTTAGCCCTGGACTTCAGCAAACAGTCTCCAGAGCACCCCTGTGCAGGCAGCTTGCGCGCCACAGAGAATGGTCCGACAGAGGTGGACTACAGCCCGTCAGAGGACAATGATCTGAGACCCGCTGATCAGTGCCCACCCACAGTGGACAAGCCTATGCTCTTCAAAGACAGTGACTCAAGTCGCGCCACCTCTGTGTCCCCTTCAGATGCATCCCAATCCAGCCCCTCGACTACTACACCTTGTCAGATGAGGGAAATGTCACCAGTCTTAGCCCAGCAGATGGACAAATCACCTGCCACCCCAAAATGTTCTTCCCCCTCTTCATCCTCCTATTCTTGCTTCACACAGAAAACAGAGATGTCTCTGGGAGCAGAAACTAATCCCTTCAAATGTGGAGATTCCAAATCCCCTGTCAGTCCCAAGGTTCCCTCCCCATCCTACCTTCCACTCTCTTCAAACCTCTCTGACTATCAGAAGTGTGCAGGTGGCTCCAGGGACCCAGACTCCTCCAAGAAGACCCCTTCTTCTGGTTCCAAAACAGATGTTGACCTATGCTTGGTGACTTCCTGTGAGTACCGCCACCCTAAGACAGAGCTGTCCCCCTCCTTCATAAACCCCAGTCCCCTGGAGTATTTCATGAATGAGGAGAACCCTCTGGAGGAAGAGAAGCCCCTGGCTAAGTCAGATGGAGGACCTCCATCCCCCGGCAATAAACTACACGCTAAGCAATGTGAAGAGACTCCTCCAACCTCCATCAGTGAATCTGCCCCGTCCCAGACAGATTCTGACGTTCCCCCTGGGACTGAGGAGTGCCCCTCAATTACCGCAGATGCAAACATAGACTCTGAGGATGATTCGGAGACACTTCCCACTGACAGAACCCTGACATACAGACACGCAGATCCTCCTCCCGTGGCCCCCAGGGACTCTGCTCCGTCTCCAGCCCACCCAGATGTCACCATGGTAGATCCGGAGGCCAACATGCCCCCCGCTGATGACAACAACCAGACCAAGGACAAGGACTCAAAGGCAGAGGGAGCTGAGAAAGCTAAGAAGAAGAAGCTCACCATGACCAAGTCCTCCTCTCCGGCCAGAAAGACTGGGCCCTCAAAAGTAAAGGATTCAAAAGTAATAGCCTCTCCCAAAAAGAGTGCAGGAGAAGGGAAAGATGCCAAAAATGCAACCAATACCTCTGCGTCCAGGGGTGTGAAAAGTGCCACATCAGGTAAGACCTGGTACTCTTCACTCATATTTTCCTACTTGGTCATGTGTCTAGATCCTTTGGTTAGTTTTAGCTCTATTTACCTCGGTATAGATTCACATTTCTTTCATCCATGATGTACATTGATTTTCTAACAAAGCCGCATCTCTGTCTCAGGTTCAGGCAGTGGAAAGGCAGCAGTGGCAATGCCCGTACCCAACTGCCCTCCTACGTACATGGACCTGGTTTACATCCCAAACCACTGCAGCGCCAAGAATGTGGATGCAGAGTTCTTCAAATGGGTCAGGTCCTCCTACTATGTAGTCAGTGGCAATGACCAGACGGCCCAGGAGCCCAGCAAAGCTGTCCTGGACTCACTGCTGGAGGGCAAAGCCATGTGGGGAAACAACATGCAGGTACAGGGAGACAGTCAAAATGTATCAGAATAACCGTATTATAATCCCATAGTATCAGGAAGAGAGGTGCCATAGAGACAATAGACAAGACTTAAAAAGTGTACTTTTTTTTTTTGCTTTTTAGAGAGGAACAAAACAAAGCTCAAGAGTTTTAGAAAAAATATTATGCAAACCTCTTTTCCCTGTTGGCAGGTGACCCTGATCCCAACTCATGACTCAGAGGTGATGAGGGAGTGGTACCAGGAGACTCATGAGAAGCAGCAGGACCTGAACATCATGGTGCTGGCCTCCAGCTCCACCGTGGTCATGCAGGACGAGTCCTTCCCCGCCTGCAAGATAGAGCTGTGAACCTGATCCTGGGCCTCGTTCCATTCCAAATGATGCTTCTCTTCTTCCCTTCACTTCTCCCTTCACCGGAGTGTGCGCTCCATTGACATTCCAAGATGCACTTTCTGAGTGAGGGGACTGATGGAGGGAAGGGGTTGTAATCATTTGGATTGGAACAACCCTCTGGACTCTCCTGATCAAAGGATCTAGTAACCAAGAGATCTAGTGATCAAGTGGATCATGTTGTTAGTGGTATCTTTGAGATGGGGTGAGGGATGTAGACGCAGAGTAAAAACATAATGTAAACACGTAATTTAAACAAAGGTTCTTTGCCAACATCAATGAAAAATGCATAGCCTACATTACAGTTATGTTTGAGTTTGAAATGACAACCGCAAACATAATTGTCCACAATACTCAAACAAACTATCTCACACAAGTTAACGTCAGCCTTGTGGAACACTTTGAATAAGGAATGATTTTATAATAATATCCTGTATGGATTAAATATATGACCTAAACCAGTATGGAGAACATGAAAAGAGGCTCCCATCGTATAAATTGGTGCTCTTGACGTAGACTGATTTCTTCAGAAAACTCACTTTCCCATGAGCACCAATTATATATGAATCAAGTAACATATAGATAGAAAAGTCCATGAGAATATACTTGTTCATACTGGGGACAAAATAGGTCTGACATTAAAATAAAATAAATATATAGGTTGGGACTACAAATTTAAAAGTTACATGGTGACAACATAGATATTGGGTGTGATAGTTTAATAGGTCATTAAGCAATGTCTCAAGCCACTGATTACATCTCTGTCCATAAAAATATTATATAAGATTGATTTAACCCAGCTGCATACACCAAAGGATCAAGGAGAACTCATTTAAGTTATTGCCTTAGGAAGTGAATTGAATGTAAAAGATTGATGCACTGAGGACAAATAGCAGGTAGCATAAGTAGGAATGATTAGAAAACTTAAAATAAAATAAAACAAGAGTCTGTCCCCAACTATCAGATAATCTCTGTATAGAGCTAGTGTAGTTTGACACTGCACTGACGGAGTATGAAGAAATACATAGAGCAAGTTAAAGTTCAACTGCACTGAAGGGCAGGATCATGTTAACTGTCTTATACCAGTGCGACTATTTTGAGAACAATACAATTCTAGTAAAGATGTGTCCATTCGTTTTGATTCTGTTTGCGCAAAAGATTGTTGATTGTTTTGCACATTAGTTAATAATGGGCGGCATTATTTTGAAAATTTAATTCCAGTGTTTTTAAGAGTTGTTATTTATTTTATTCTTAACTTATAAAATGTCTCCTAAAGATCTTGCAGGATAATTGTTTAATGCGATGTCAAACGTGCATTACAAATAAGTAGAACTTGTTGGCCAAATGTCAAATATGCTTCTTGACAAATTTAATTAGAAAAGCACTGTTTCAAAATAATGTCTGTAACATTCAGAAAGATTCAGAAATTGTCTGTTAACGTTTGGATTGGATTGATTTCAATAGAACTCTATGTACTGTATACTCTAGCTCAGTCCGTCCTGCAGCCTTTTGTGTCAACCACAAATGGAGCCCTAGCGACTGCTTGAATGTGCCACAATATGTTCAGACTTGTGAAGCGAAATACTTTCCTAACCTTAAAAACATTTCTGTTTTTTTAAAACACTGTACTATAATTATATATAGCTTTGTGGCAGGGTGAATGGTCGAAAGAAATGTGCATGAGTAATGTAAAAATATACCAAGTATTTTTTCTCTTTTAAAGGATGGGAAACTCTGCTCTTAACTGCCAAAAGAACAATGCAAGGCTAATATACATAAGACATACCCCACTAGGGACAGATGTCAGTCAACGTCTAGTTTTGATTTACATTTGGTTTAGTTGTCAACTATTGTGAATTCAACATGAAATCAACTAAAACTGCCCACATGTCATTGGATTTAGATTAAAAGTTGGGTGGAAAAAATAGTAAATTCCCTTACATTGATGACTTTTTGCAAATCCAATCCGTTTTTCATGTTGATTCAACATCATCACATTGAATTTAATTTTTGAAATGTCGTGGAAACAACGTTGATTCAACCAGTTTTTGCCAAGTCGGAGGTACATTAAAAGTTGGTTGTCTTTGGGGTGTTGCCAGCTATGCCATGATGGCATGGAGTGAAAAGTCAAACGAGCGGTCCCATCCTCCGACTATGTTGGCCGTTTTAAGGTCTTTAAATCTGCTCCATCATAGTCCATGGCCCTTTAGCTACTCAATGAGGATGTGTAGTACCTCGGGCCAACCACAGGTCTGTAGAAAGAAGTGGTCAGATGCCTTGTGATGGAAGATGGCAGTACCTCTGCCAAAATCCCTTTTAGTCAGGTAAAGCACTGTATAGATACGCCTTGAGAAGAGTAGAACACAGGGGGGAGTGATTGTTTTGGGTATGAGTTCCAGGTGTGAAAGACGAAAAAACTAGACACTTTAAAAGCCAGGACAAATAATAATAACTGTAACATGAAACCATAAACAAAATCATAGAAAACACTCATGGTCAAACTCCAACTGCACACATCAATCATAAATGATCACACCTATAGGGAGGCCATGAACATACTACAACCATCCACTACTCAGAACAAACGGTCACTGCTAGGTGAAAACTCACAACGTAGACAAAATATTACAGTCAACCAACCAGAGGCAGGTACTTAGTTACTGTCTCCATGACAGGTCACCATGGCAACACAGTTATCCAGTTGTCCTGTACAGCTCTGCAACAGGAACCTTTAACCATAAGCATGACCATTCTGCCGTTCAACTACAAACTATAGTGACCGACCGAGACCGACCACACACACCACTCTTTCTTGACCTTTCCTCATGCTACTACTTTATTGAATTCCTTGCTTTCTATAATCTCTGTAATCTCTCTCTTTCTATCTTTCTCTCTTTCTCTCTTTTGGATGATTGTTAATACTGTCTGTCTGCAGCTGTGTGATATGAAATTGTCTCGTGATCTCTGCATCCTCCCTCTCCTTTTCCAAACTCATACCTAATGTAGCGGTTAGTTTCAAGTGAAAGTATTACTTAGTGCTTTTCTGATATGTGTGTGCAGTATCTCCTCTCCCCTCCTTTGGGACATTTGATGTAAAGGGAACTACTATTAAAAAGGAAACCTACAAAAAGAGCCACAATAAACTCATGTTGTGGAAAATCATGAATTTTTGTCTCGGTGTCTTCTTTCCTGAATGAATGTATATTCTGAAGTAATGGTGTTATGATGAAGATGATGGTGATAATGACAATCACAATAACGATTATGATTACGATGATGACATCACTCAGTAGAATGGGGTCACTATACAAGCTTAACCTATGTTCGTGACCTACAACTCATAAAACAAAACAGGGCTATATGACTCATGACCCAATGAAAAGCTATGCTTTACCCTACAATACATGACAGAGAGACATGAAGGCAATCCTTCATTGTGTATGTACTTTGCCATAATGGAGAGGCCTTAACCATTTACTCACATCAAAGCAAACAGCAGTAACACAAACCCCCTACCCCTAGGAGCGAGGAAGAGCACTGGAGCAAAGCAAACCCTCCTACCGCCCAACCAACCATGGACAGAAACGTCAGGTTGCTAAAATAATTGCTCTCATATAGATTCAGAGCCACACAGTCTCCTGGCTGGTTAACGTCATCTCTGGTTGTGTGATTGGCTATAAAAAGACAATGAGGCCCTAGGGAGAGACAAGCTCCATGGCCTCCAGGGTGACGGGTGTCCCTGACAGGCAGACAGCCCAGGCAGAGGCCCAGCAAGGAGATTTATGACCCGTGAGAGACAGAGACGAGAGAGGATAGATTGAAGGGAGAGAAGGAGACGAGGGAGGAGATTGTGGGGAGAGACGGAGATGAGGGAGGGAGAGAGAGCAACAGAGAGAAGGGAGGAGAGATTGGAGGGAGAGAGAGCAACGGAGAGAAGGGAGGAGAGATTGAAGGCTCAGGAAGTCACCCTGTTTGTCACGCTGGTTATAACCACAGGGATGGATAGGAGTGCTAGTCTAGTCTAGTCTAGTCTAGGCTGCAGCTCGCCTTGAGACACACATTTCTCCCATGAGGGACATGTTGTGCAGAGTTTTAGGCAATGAGGGTGTGAGAAGCATGATAATGTAATAATTTTACTTCAACTGAAAAATGAAACAAAACCGAAAAAGGTAAAACAAGCCATCAACAATCAATATTATTGAAACTGATGGAACAAATAATCAACCAACCATTATGATAAACTAGACTGTGGGCATTGCACTTGCAGGTGGTCTATAGACTTTTTACAGTGACCTTTCCCATGGCAGCATCATTATCAGCAGCACGCTAGCAGGTGTCTGTCTGTTTGGGCCACAAAAACACATGTTCAGGGTGAGTAGGTTGGAACAGAGGCCTAAGGAGCTCATTACAGGGGGAGATTATCACTTTAACCCCTCCAGATTGACACAAGCATGCACTTACGCTCGCAATCACACACACACACAATTGTAACTCCTCCAGATGACATGAATTACCCTGTAAGTGCTGATGGGGTATTCCCCTAATTAATTGTGTCCAGCCCAGTAGCCATATGGGGTCATTCTGAGTGCAGACATTGTCACTTGCTATCTATACTGAAAAATAAAATAAAACGCAACATGCAAAATTTCTAAGATTTTGCTGAGTTACAGTTCATATAAGGAAATCAGTCAACTGAAATAAATAAATTAGTCCCTAATGTATGGATTTCAAATGACTGGGCAGAGGGGCAGCCATGGGTGGGCCTGGAAGGGCATAGGCCCACCAAATTGGGAGCCAGGCCCAGCCAATCAGAATGAGTTTTTCCCCACACTAGAGCTTTATTACAGACAGAAATACTCCTCAGCCCCCTCAAAACTTGAGACATCTGTGGCATTGTGTTGTGTGACAAAACTGCACATTTTAGAGTGGCCTTTTATTGTCTCCAGCACAAGGTTATGATCATGCTGTTTAATCAGCTTCTTGATATGCCACACCTGTCAAGGGGATGGATTATCTTGACAAAGGATAAAATGCTCAGTAACAGGGATGTAAATAGATTTGTGCACAGCATTTGAGACAAATAAGCTTTTTGTGAGTATGGAACATTTCTGGAATCTTTTATTTCAGCTCATTAAACATGGGACCAGCACTTTTCAGTGTATTTTAAGCACATGTTTGAGATCATTGACTCTGACTCAGTGTAAGAAACTGAGATAGATTTGGGGTAAGACTCAAGAGTATTGTCCACAAGGCACATGTAACATCCAAAATAGCCTAACAATAATAACTCCCACTGAGGGAAAACATAGAATTGCAAATCCTCAACAGAAGAGGATGTTGGAATATTCATGAATTTAAGAATATTTCATGAATTAAAGACTTCTCATCTCCCAAAAAGTGTGCGTATGTGTATTCACCTTTGGGGAGGGAGGGATTACTCTAATATATGCTGCCTCTGTAAAAATATATGGCACCTGTCTGGGCATCACTTCCCTTTCCCGAATCTGTAGAGAGCACCACCATGTCTGAAGGAAGACAGCATCAGATGGCTGTAGGACATTTCAGGAGACGGCTACCCAGTGGTGAGAGAACCAGGTGGGATTTGAGGAATGACAGTGCAAACAGATGGAAGAGGATGACAATTCTTGCCTTAGTATGAAACAACATTCAGATATTCACATTTAATTTGGTTGAATGTTCTGCGTTGTGCACTTCAAGCAAGGTGTACTGCACATTGTGTACTATGTTTGCTGTACTGTAGATCATACAGGGGCTGGAGTATGGCAGTCTCACTAAAACGAACCCACAGTGATTTAAGATGGACAAAAACAATATCTCTCTACGCACTCTTCGGAGGACAGCTTTTACAGCTTTTCTGGTACATATATAGTACCAGTCAAAAGTTTGGACACACCTACTCATTCGAGGGTTTTTCTTTATTTTTTACATTGTAGAATAGTAGTGAAGACATCAAAACTATGAAATAGCACATATGGAACCATGTACAGTGAGGGAAAAAAGTATTTGATCCCCTGCTGATTTTGTACGTTTGCCCACTGACAAAGAAATGATCAGTCTATAATTTTAATGGTAGGTTTATTTGAACAGTGAGAGACAGAATAACAACAAAAAAATACAGAAAAACTCATGTCAAAAATGTTATAAATTGATTTGCATTTTAATGAGGGAAATAAATATTTGACCCCCTCTCAATCAGAAAGATTTCTGGCTCCCAGGTGTCTTTTATACAGGTAACGAGCTGAGATTAGGAGCACACTCTTAAAGGAAGTGCTC